TGACTTGAAGTATTAATGTTACTATAGGAATGACTCTAATTCTTGGCCAAATTATTCGATTATAACCTGGTTTGGGTATCAGTTTACGCTTTATAATCCGCGAAGCGGATTATAAAAAAGCGTAAACTGACCCAAACCAGGTTATAATCGAATAATTTGGCCAAGAATTAGAGTCATTCCTTATAATTTAATTTTTAAATAATTAAACAACTGTGGATGTAAAATTGTGCTGCTTTTTAAGAGTTCAAATTTGCCGCGCAATAATACATCCCTAGTAACGGAAGTGATTTGAAACAAGGGGACGTAATAACTTAAGGGGACGTAATAACAGATCTAGCAGCCATGATGTTTGTTTACACGAGGTAAGAGCGAGCTACTGTTTGAAGTTAAAAGTACATTTATTAAATTTAGAATTTTCCATGGACTGTAAATGTGGGATTGCATAGATACAAATGAATCAGCTGGTTGTCAAGGGGGTGTGTCCCCATACCAAACCAGGTTATTACGTTTTATTCTAGTGTTCTTTTTTGGAAATCAACCAATGAGAGACTAGAATATTATCAAAATTAAATTATATATAAATATCACTAGTGCAACATGTGCAAGGGCATAACCAAGTTAAATTTCCAAGTTTAGTATATAAATATTTTCAATACGCATTGCAGTTTCTAAAAAGTGCTGCGATCCTGTCTAAATTCTGCAATTTCACTGTTAAAATTATACTTGTATGACCGAATGCCATATTTTTTGCTGATCAGAGGCATAAAATATTGATATAATTAAATTGTTTTTAAGATTTCATCAGGATCGCAGCACTTTTCAGATACTTCAATAGTTCTATAGTTGAAATTGAAAAGCTTTGATCCTAGAGTGTATGCCCATGCACTATATCGATTTATTAAGACCCGCCACATTACCTATCCAGTGAAAGGTCTTGTCACAAGTACATGTATTAAATACGTGAAGTATGAAAGCCCAATCCCTTAGCGTTCAAAAGATGGCTAGGGTTCACGTTTTTTCATAAGTAGGGAAATTTCCAAGGTCAAGGTTGGTGGTATCCGATGAAAGGTATTGGCAAAAAGAATAGATTTGTGGAATATAATATAAATGTCCTGGTGTCTACTTTTCAAAAAATATGACCAAAGAAAAAGATTGGAATTTTTGTGTAAAAGTGGGTCAAACTCCAAGGTCAAATTTGGTGGTACCCGAACAAAGGTCATACCACATGGAATTAGCATGTAAAATATGAAAGTCATAGTTCCATTAAATCATTAGTTATGGGCATTGTTAAAGTTTTTGTGAACAAACAGAGAGACAGACAAATGGACGGACACGAAAAAAAAACTATACACCCTCGAAACTTCGTTTACGGGGGCATTAAAATCCTTGTCTTAACTTAATCTTAATAATTCTTAAAAATTGGACAGACAAGACGATCCATATAGTTTTTTCGAAGATTTTGTCACTTAAGAATTACTTTAACATGTTTACTCACAAAAACATAGGTAGTCTAAGATTACAAAGCTCACCTCGACGAATGTTATGAGTGTAAGTAATGCAAATCTCACATCATATTTTCTTCATACAAGTATCTACTATTTATCCCAACAACAATATTCTTGCAAGTTGTGTATAACCCCTTACATGGCATATACACATTTCTATGCATGTAGTGTGAAAAACATGTATAGTGTAAACAAATATTCAAAAACTTGTTAATACTGCAGATATCAAGGACTTCAAGTTCATTCGGATTAATCTGTTCACAAAACTTTAACCTGGTCTCTTGTATGGACAATATAGGTCAGATTCAACATCCAAAGCAAGTCTGAAAGTGTCCATCCCTAGATGCATCATCTATGCAAGTTTGGTTCAAGTAGGTCTTATAGTTACTTGGGAATGAAAATCTAGGTCAGATCCAGCATCCGAAGCAAGTCTGGTAGTGTCCATTCCAAGATGCATCATCCATGCAAGTTTGGTTCGGTTAGGTCTTATAGTTACTTGGGAATGAAAATCAAGGTCAGATCCAGCATCCGAAGCAAATCTTGAAGTGTCCATTCCTAGATGCATCATCCAGGCAAGTTTGGTTCATGTAGGGCTTATAGTTACTTGGGAATGAAAATGTAGGTCAGATGCAGCATCCGAAGCAAGTCCGGTAGTGTCCATCCCTAGACGCATCATCCATGCAAGTTTGTTTCGGGTAGGTCTTATAGTTACTTAGGCATAAAAATGTAGGTCAGATTCAGCATCCGAAGCAAGTCTGGTAGTGTCCTTCCCTAGATGCATGATCCATGCAAGTTTGGTTCAGGTAGGGCTTATAGTTCCTTGGGTATGGACCTGCTCCAAAAACTTGAACCTGGTCACTCATCTGGAAAATGTAAGTCAGATCCAGCATCCAAAGCAAGTCTGGTAGTGTCCAACCCCAGATGCATCAACCATGCAAGTTTGGTCAGGGTAGGGCTTATAGTTCCTTGGGATTGAACCTGCTCCAAAAACTTTAACATGGTCACTCGTTTGGAAAATGTAGGTCAGATCCAGCATCTGAAGTAAGTCTGGTAGTGTCCATCCCTAGATGCATCATCTATGCAAGTTTGATCCGGGTAGGGCTTATAGTTACTTGGGAATGTACCTTCTCCAAAAACTTTAACCTGGTCACTCATCTTGGGAATGGACCTGCTCCAAAAACTTTAACCTGGACACACATCTGGAAAATGTAAGTCAGATTCAGCATCCGAAGCAAGTCTGGTAGTGTCCATCCCTATAGATGGATTATCCATGCAAGTTTGGTCTGGGTAGGGCTTACAGTTCCTTGGGTATGGACCTGTTCCAAAAACTTTAACCTTGACACTCATCTGGAAAATGTAAGTCAAATCCAGCATCGAAAGCAAATCTGGTAGTGTACATCCCCAGATGCATCATCCATGCAAGTTTGCTCAGGATAGGGCTTATAGTTACTTGGGGATGGACCTGCTCTAAAAACTTTAACCTGGTCACTCATCTTGGGAATGGACCTGCTCCAAAAACTTTAACCTGGTCACTCATCTGGAAAATGTAAGTCAGATCCAGCATCCAAAGCAGGTATGGTAGTGTCCATATCCCTAGATGCATCATCCATGCAAGTTTTGTCTGGGTAGAGGTGAGCTAAAAATTGAGGTACTTTGCCAGGCATTTGTGCTAGATACCAGATGATTGCAATTTTGGTGTTTCAAATTTTTAAAAACAATTAGAAACAGGTTAAGAAATCAGAAAGTTTTTAAAAGTTGTATATTTTTTCAGACATTATGAAGATACAAAACAGAAATTTGGGGAACGTATCGTCTAACCTTAACAGCAAAGTTTGATCGAAAGGGTTCATTTTAAATCATCTCATAAGCTACCTTTATTGAGACCATGTCTTAATGTTAAATTAGGAAATTCTTGTTTTAATTAATTATCAAAGTGGGCATATCAAAATGTTAATAAAGATTCATTTTAAGCCACTGAAAAACAAGAGGCCCATGGGCCACATCGCTCACCTGAGAAGCTTTGACCATTCTGTTCTTTACTAGATTTCCCCCTTGTTATACATATTGTGACCCCACCCAAACCCACTCATCATAATTTAGACAAGTTGAAATCTATACTACCCTAGGATGCTTTCACATAAGTTTCAGCTTTTCAAAGATCATCCAATATTTCTATGTAAAACTTTGACTCCCCATTGTGGCCCTGACCTAACCCCCCCCCCCCCGGGTCATGATTTGAACAATTTAGAATCTACTTTACCCTAGGATGCTTCCACACAAGTTTTTCAGCTTTTCTGGCCCAGTGGTTCTTGAGAAGAAGATTTTTAAAGATTTTTCCTATACATTAATTTCTATGTAAAACTTTGATTCCCTATTGTGGCCCCGCCCAACCCCTGGGAGTCATGATTTGAACGATTTAGAATTTACACTACCCCAGAATGCTTCCACATAAGTTTCAGATTTTCTGGCCAAATGGTTCCTGAGAAGAAGATTTTTAAAGTTTTTCCCCATATATTTCTATGTAAAACTTTTATTCCCCTTTGTGGTCCCGCCCTATTCCCGGGGGTCATGATTTGAACAATTTAGAATCTACACTACCCCAGGATGCTTTCACATAAGTTTCAGCTTTTTTTGGCCCAGTGGTTCTTGAGAAGAAGATTTTAAAATTTTTTTCCTATTATTTCTATGTAAAACTTGGATTTCCCATTGTGGCCCCGCCCAACCCCCGGGGGTCATGATTTGTATAATTTAGAATTTACACTACCCCAGAATGCTTCCACATAAGTTTCAGCTTTACTAGCCCAGTGGTTCTTGAGAAGAAGATTTTTAAAGATTTTTCCTATATATTTCTATGTAAAACTTGGATTCCCCATAGTGGGGACCCGCCCTGCCCCCGGGTGTCATGATTTGAATAATTTAGAATTTACACTACCTCAGGATGCTTCCACATAAGTTTTAGCTTTTCTGGCACAGTGGTTCCTGAGAAGAAGATTTTTAAAGATTTTTCCTATATATTTCTATGTAAAACTTGGATTCCCCATAGTGGGGCCCCGCCCTGCCCCCGGATGTCATGATTTGAACAATTTAGAATTTACACTACCTCAGGATGCTTCCACATAAGTTTCAGCTTTTCTTGCACAGTGGTTCTTGAGAAGAAGATTTTTTAATGACCCAATCCTATTTCTGTCTTTTCTTGATTATCTCCCCTTGCAAGGGGATGTGTCCCTTCATTCTAACATTTTAAATTCCCCTTTACCCAAGGATGCTTTGTACCAAGTTTGGTTAAAATTGGCCTATTCGTTCTTGAGAAGAAGTCGAAAATGTGAAAAGTTTACGGACGGACAGACAGACGGACGACAGCCACATGCTTCTTCAGGTACACATTTCCGAGAGCTTCTGCACACCATACAAATTACTTTAGCAAAAGTTCTTTGAGCTTTTGGCTTATATGAACATATAAAATAAATGGTAAAACACTTTAAAAAACAACTTTATTGAATATTAAAATATTTAATATTCTATTGAATATTCCTCTTACACATTAACCTAATAAATGTATTATCATGATTATGAACCTGTTTAACATTCATGATAAAGGTTATATACCAGTTAAGTGCATTTTTACCATATGGCGCCTCAAAGAATGTTTATGCATTACCTTACTACATTTATCACAAGCTGTCTTCATCAGTCCTTGATGGAGGGCTTCATGAGTCCGGAGGCTCAATTTATTGATGAAAGTTTTTTCACAAGTGCTACATCTAAATCGAGCATGAGAATTTTTCTCTTTCTTGTGACTAGTTGAGTGCATTTGTAGCATGTGGCGCCTCAAAGAATGTTTATGCATTACCTTACCACATTTATCACAAGCTACCTTCATCAGTCCTTGATGGAGGGCTTCATGAGTCCGAAGGCTCAATTTATTGATGAAAGTTTTTTCACAAGTGCTACATCTAAGTCTAGCATCAGAATTTTTCTCTTTCACGTGATTCTCTTCTGAATGACTGCCACTGGTCTCATGTTTATGTTTGCTCCATTTGTGACTTTCATATCGCAACCTTTCACAAAAGCCCTTTCCGCAATATTCGCAAACAAAAGGTATGTCTGAAATTCGCGATTTTGTTTCCAGACTCAAATCATCATGGATTCTGTGCCTTACCATATGATGTCGAATATAAGACTCAACAAAAAGTTTTCCACAAATCTCACACAGAATCTTAGTAGAGGAATCATGGGTATTCATGTGCAGAATTCTGGCAATCCTACTGCAAAATCTCCTCCCACAAATCTCACAGAGAAATGGCTTTTCTTCAGTATGTAATCTTTTATGATCTCTGAGCCTCCTTTTGGATTTCAATATCTTTCCACACACATCACAAGAAAACCTCCCAGGTTCATGTCTCTGCATATGCAGTTTAAGAAGATATCTTTTTTTGAATGTTTTTGGACACTTATCACATGCAAATGCTTTTGTTCTTGCCTTTGAAAAATGTGTATCTCTGTGTTCGCAAAGCGAAGAGGAGAAAACAAAGGCCTTTTCACACAAATCACATTTATATGGTTTTACGGTGCTGTGCAACAGTTTTAGGTGCCTTTCATAGGTAGATTTCTGCTTGAAGGATTTCTGACAACTATCACAAACATATGACTCTTTCTTCTTCTTGACTTGTTTTGGACCTGAACCCTGGAAATTTAGGTGCACTGGATCTGTAAGCTTTCCATCCCCTTGCTTATTTTGTGCCACTGTCGTATCAGAGTTCAATTTTAGATTGCTCCATAATGTTTGACACTTTTTACACAAGTTTTTTGGAAATTGTGTTTCTTCAAATGTTTCTACACGAACTGGTTGCTTACAAAAAATGCAAGCAAACGATACTTTCACACAGTTTGTTCTTTTTTTGTGCCGTGTATATGCCTCCAGGTCCGAAAAGATATTTCCACACTTCCCGCATTCTGGTATTTTAGTTCGAATGACTCGGACAGTTTTGACTACTTCTTCATCCCTCTCATACGTTGCTAAGTTAGCCTCTTTTATTCCAGCTTTGAGTTTATCGCAGCTGATACCATGAACGAATTTCAGATGTGCAAATGCACTCATTTTGCAAGCGAAAATCTTTTCACAATATCCACATTTTTTGCATTCGCTTTGTAGTCCTTTGTGTTGTCGAACGTGCCTCTGAAGGACTAAAGGATCACTGAAAGTCTCTTTACAAATTCCACACTTATAAAACTTGTAGCCCATTTCTTCCATTATATCTTTGGTGATATTTTTCTCTTTAATAATTATTTCGTCTGTTATTAAACATTCTTTTGGACTTTTCTGAAACACAAAAAAACTCCTTACTTCATTTCCCTAATGAACAATTTATGAATGTACAAGATGCATTGGAAAAGGTAACCAGAGGACATAATGTTTACATGAGTTCTATTGGTCTTGTTGTTTATCACCTATAAAAATAATATTTTTATCGTTTGTCAACTTTTACCCAATGCTAAGGTCCTTCTTTAGCCAAATAAAGTCCAAACATTATATCCTCAATCAACAGATTCTGAGGATGCTTCAATATAAAACTAATACAGTAGGCCTTTCAATTGCCACTAGGGGTTGGTGTTATGAAAGATAGCTCACTGCTGAAACTTGTTTAGAGCAGGCTCGGGGTATCTAACTGTTAACACGCAAGGCAGTTTTTATATTTCCCAAGTGTTTCTTTGCTCTCAGTAAAATCCAGTGGTTTTAAAATTTAGCACCAATGTGAAACTTATTTACTGTATAGTTGCAGACACCGGTTTACTGCATATAATTAAAATTTTTAATTAAAATAAAAAGTGAAATCTACCCTCCTTCTCAGTTCTAACCTTATTAAATTTTTATACTTGGTCGTTCCCCTTCGTGCATAGTCACCTAAGTTAGATGATCAATTGTTGTCCCCCACTTTCGTGAAAGCGAGGGGACATTAAATCTCATTCTTCTGTCTGTCAGTCTGTAAGTCTGTCCGTCACAAAAACTAACCTTGTCCATAACTTTTGATTTAGTGGAGCTATGACTTTCATATAACACATGTGTATTCCTCGTGACAAAACCTTTCTTTGGGTACCATCAAATTTGACCTTGACCTTGAAGTTTAACCCACTTTTACACAAAAAATCCAAACTTTTACTTTGGCCATAACTTTTGGATGGTAGGTACTAGGACTTTCATATTTCACAAATGTATTCTTTGTGGCAAGACCTTGCATTGGATACCAACAACCTTGACCTTTTGACCTTGTCCATGGAGTTTCATGTACTTATGAAAAAATTTTGACCTTAACAATAACTTTTGAACGGTGAGGACTAAGGCTTTCGTACTTCACATATGTAATCCTTGTGAAAAGACCTTTCATTGGATACCAACAACTTTTACACTTTGACCTTGACCTTGGAGTTTTAACTACTTTTTAAACTTTAACCTTGGTCACAACTTTTAAACAGTAGATACTAGGACTTTTATATTTCACCTATGTATTCTTTGTGGCAAGACCTTTCATTGGATACCAACAACCTTTACCTTTTGACTTTGACCTTTCAGATTTACGTACTTATGAATGAAATTTAACCTTGACCATAACTTTTGAATGATGAGAGCTAGGGCTTTCGTACTTCACATGTGTAATTCTTGTGAGAAGACCTTTCACTGGATACCAACAACTTTTACCCTTTGATCTTGACATTGGAGTTTTAACTACTTTTAAAAAACTTTATCTTTGGTCACAACTTTTGAACGATAGATACTAGGACTTTCATATTTCACATTTATATTCTTTGTGGCAGGACCTTTAATTGGATATCAACAGCTTTGACCTCTTGACCTTGACCTTAAAGATTTACGTACTTATGAAAAAACTTTAACCTTGACCATAATTTTTTTACAGTAAGGGCATAGGCTTTCATACTTCACATATGTAATCCTTGTGAGAATACCTTTCATTGGTTTTCAACAACTTTGACCCTTTGATCTTGACCTTGGAGTTGACCTTTATTTAAAAAAAAACTTTAACTTTGGCCATAAGTTTTTAACGGTCAGGATTAGGGTTTTCATCCTTTAAAAAAATCAACTTCAATGATAATTTCTAAATAAATGACATATGATAGGGTGTTCAACATGTTCAAATTAGACACAATATGTCATAAAAAATAACATCTCACCCACAAAGACACCGAAACCGGGGGAACACAATTCTTTGAATTTGCTTGTTGCATTTACTTGTAAAAATATATATATTTACACAGGAAACAAAAAAGCGCGAACATTTTGATATGAAACATGTTGAAAAATACATTATAATATCGAAAAATTAACTTCTAATCATAATTATGTATTGGAAAGGCAGATATCCTTAAAATTTGTTTGAAAAAATAAATTTCATTTCAAAGGTTAAATTAGTTATTGTGTACACTGTAGTTTAAATACATGTACATGCACATAAAGGTGTAGCAGGAATGGATTTTGTTATATACATTTATGCCTTGGATTTGAGTAATAATATGTTATTATCAATGTTTTCATACATTTATGTGTATACTGCCTTATCCATAATACCATTTGTTTATATTTATGTTTACAAACCTTCTTAGGGAAAAGCACGTGTTGCTTCCATCAAATCTTTTGGGCTAATGTTTATCTAAATTTTGATTGGCTATTTATACGGAAGTTAACTTTTGGATGTCACTAATATCAGTCAAAGTTCGTACCCTTCGTGTGCATCCACTAGGATTCTAAGTTGAATTTTCTTTTGTTTCCAAAAAGTATAAAAACCCGTGTAACTGCTATTTTAGTGGGGAATCTTAAAAAGCATTGATTAACTAACTGTAAGTTCTCTCACTTTTAAAGAGGTTTATTAGGTATTTAACAGGTTGCACCCTCAGAAATTATGTAAAGATATAATTAGGTATTTGTACAAAAATTGTCGTTGTCTATTGCTCCTGTTAAATTTATTAGGCCATAAAACTAAAAGTTAGGAATTAGGTTTTCCACAAATAATGTAAATAAGGGGTTTTCTAAATTCCTCTAAGCCTTTTCCCCCAGCTAGGTTGGGCTAGCGTTTCTGTACGCTAGGTTGGGGGGGGGGGGTGATTTTTGCTGGTTTTTCCAAATAGGTTTTTTTTCACAAGAGAGGAATTTACAATTGCTATTTTTTTATACCATTTTTTTGTCTACACAAAGGTTAAATACATTTTGTTGTTTATTGAAACTGGTGTTTTAATTACTATTGACATGAGGTTTTGAAATAAGGTACAAATAGGCTCGGAAATAAGATCAAGCAGAATCTTAAATCAAAATAAGAACATGGGAAATAATTTATATGAACTGATGAAACAGTGAAAATATAGGAGAGTGTTAAAAATATTCTAGAACCACTAATGATAATTGTGTTCTGAGAAATACTCCTATTACAAAGGAATGAACATGATGAAGGTTATTTTAATAAACTTTGTTATACGATTAAACATAACCATAACTTGAAGCAGTCAACTCTTTTTTAAAAGCTGCTTTTTTGTTGCAAGGGGATAACAAGGTTTAACTGTATACACTTTTGATATTAAACATAACATTATGTACAAAGATATAAAATACGTACCGTAACATGACTACTTTCAACCTGTGGTTCTCCTCTTACTGTTCCAGAAGACTGAACCTCATCGATAATCATGGGACTTTCTTCCACTTTTACTTCAGTTTTTAATTCTGTTGGTAGATCCAAGTTTGGGACAGGTGGTGGATCCCCTTTCTGCACAGGTTGAAGGATGACCGAAAAGCTCTGTTCTGTAACCTCTACATCTGCTGGTAATACTGTTGAAGTGTTCCCAGGTAATGTTTTGTTCTGAGACTTCGTACCATGTGAGGGTGAGCAGCTGCTTGTTGTTAATGTTTTCTTGAAACAATTTGTGGTGATATCCTGACTGTTGGGTACCATTGAGGCTCCAGTGACATTTAAATCTTGCTTAAGATGTAAACTATTCTGAATATTTTTTAGCTGATTTAGATTAACAGCACTTAAAATACTTATACCATTGTCCAGAACTTTGGAATTGCCATTGGTTGTTTCGTTCATAGCATTTGGTTTAGAGATAGTAACAGCTGTGTTTTGGTGAACAGGCATTTTACTTGGTACCTTGTCATCACTGTTGACAAGAACTGGGTTGGACAGTGTTGTACCTTTGGTTTGAGCCTCTCTCCTAGAATTTTTAGCATTCTTTGCATTGGTTGAAAGCACCATATTTTTAGGAACCTGTATCAGACACAAATTTTTCACAGGATAATTCACAAAAGGAAATTTAAGCTGTGAAAGGTTATTCATGTTCACACTAGGCTGAAGTGAATGATTAATTCCGAGGTTGTTGGTGGGCAGAGAAGCATGCTGTGTCTCAATGCTATCTGTGTTCTCACTAGGCTTGGTTGACTTCTGTGTTCGAAGGCTGTCTGTGTTAACTTTTGCCTGAGATGACTGATGCACTCCAAGGCAGTTGGTGTTCAAAGGGGCCTGAGAGGTCTGTTGGATTTTGGTGCTGTTGGTGTTCACACAAGTCTGAGTGATTTTATTGGTTAAAAGGCTTTTTATTCTCCTACAAGCTGTAGGCTGGGAAGGATGCAGACCTGCGATGTTTGTGTTCTCTAAAGGATCACTTATTGTTGCAGGTGAACTTGTAATGTTTTTCAGGTCTTTCTCTGAATGATTTAGCGAAGCACAATGTTCACTTGCTTGCAATTGACTTTGATTCATGAGTGAAGTTTGGTTATCTGAAATTGAAGTCTTATCAGAACTGTAGTTTTCACCGGAAGCAGAAGCTGAACAAGGTTGAATTCTGGGAAATTTTTTAAGGTGGACATCATTCAGTGGATTGAGAATTTTCATTCTGCTGACAACTACTTCCTGCAACTTGTTCTTAATGGTGGGTACTAAATTAGTAGACTGAGGGGTGGATTCATCAGGCACTTCCTTGTTTATTTCACTGTTAGAACAAGTGACCATTTTAATTTTTCAGCAAGTCCAAATAGTATACAATCTATCAATATCTTTGATTTCACTAAGGCCTAAAAAAAAATATGTTTGTTTCCTGTAACCCGACCGACCCATTCAAATTATCCCCGGGTGGATTTTTTTTTCTGACAAATGGCAAAACTTCGTTTGATCAATCAGCTGATTCCATTAATTAAATTTATAAAATAGCTTGTAGCTTTATTTGAGACATAAAATATGTCAATCTAGTTTACATTTACCTTAAATATAAAGAGTAATCATTATTGTAACAACAGTTTCCCCCTACAACTTTCTGAAGTTTGTTTTCTGCCGCTCAGCAGCCATTTTGGATGCCATGTTGGGTGTCCACTGTAAATATAACACCTGGTATTTTCAGTCCGGGGATGTTTCACCATTTATAAGCAAAAAAAAAAAAAAAAAAGAATTTCCGACCTACCGACCCTTGATTTTTTGGGAATGTTACAGGAAACAAACTTATTTTTTTTTTAAGCCTAATGGGTATTTTGTTTCTTTTGAGTTGGACATGAAGTTGTAATCCTGTCTTTCTTCATGTTTCAAGTTATATGCCATTGTCCATTATAGTGACAAAGCAATCATTCAGTCCAAGAAATTGAAATTGAAATTGAACGTTTCATCAGGAAAACATCACCAAAACTAGAAAAGAAAATAATACATTAGATAATTGTCACGTGTAAATGCTTTAGCAACACTGTCAATAAGAGTACCTCTCAGGCCACACCAATAACATTTTTTGCTCGTCGGACCCACACACTCGTATTTAAACAAAACTATAAAAATAATATTAATTTAAAATTCCCACACCCTTGGAATTCTATGCTGTTTTCTGTTGCATTTCCACTCTATCTATGGTATTTTTATCTACTTACACTGCAAATCAGAAAAAAAAATAATTTTCCACTCAATTTTTTTCATGACCCGCCAAAAAAATTTTGCGAACTACAAAGGTAATAATAATATTATTTAACCGCTAGCCAGCTCGTCCTTTTTTCATCAAATGTCCGATGAACAAGAAATTAAATTAGTGTGGCCTCAAATTTTAAAAATGTTTAAAAAAGAGAAAAATTTCCCCAGTGAATTCTCATTCTACATTTATGCATGGTTTGATTCTGTACACTGATATGTGATTAATTCTGCAGGTGACAGAACCAGAGGAGGAAGGTTAATGTGTCTTAATATGTTGAGGGTGCAACCCTTAGGGCAAGCGCAAATATTTATTCAGTTGCCACTAGTCTGTGGGCTGGTGCTTGAAATATTTTTGATTGCGCACCCCTGTATCGTTGAGATTTTTATCTTTATGAACATGATAAAATGACCTTTCACCAAAGTACATACAAGAGGTAGTTTTTAAATTATTTTTTTCAAATCATTCAATGGTGATGAAACGATTGTTGCTGACGATCAATTATTGATCAATTTTGGGTGTTTGATTCCGATTATCGATTACCGATTTCATAATTGATAGTCGTCCAAATAAACTTGTATGATTTGAACAAAACAAACATGTACACATTAACAATATATGTAAAATGAAAAAAGGTCAACAAAAAGACAAAGACAGTTAACAACAATCAAGTAGAAATTTACCCATATCCAGGGAATGCATAGATAGAATGTACTATTGTTAAAATGATATTGTCCTACGGATTCGGTTTAATGATAGAATTTTTTTCGTAATGTAGCAAGAGAAACACAGGCAATATCTCCTACTAAGTGCATTTACTGCAGATAATCTAGAGAATTCCGAATGTTAACATGGCAAGTAAATTTGAAGTCAGAGAAAAATGTTGAGAACATTGGATTTGCATCTTTATATGGATTATTTTTTGTGATAAAAGGCATAAGCAATTATTTCCAGTGAAAATCCTTTTATATTTTTCAAAATCATTTAGGAGTGGATCCACTCCGATTTGCTACATTTCAAGTATATGGGACGTATTTTAACTGTGATGAGGGCTTATAATGAGACACAAAACTTTAGGAGATTATTCTAACTAGGGAATGCAAAATCTGATGTTATGACAAACATTTTTAGTTTTTATGAGCAAATGTATAATTGTTTTGTTTCTTTGTTACATATACAACAAAAGGTTGTCTTTAGAATAAACTTGATAAAATTTTATTTTTAGTTTGTTCCATAAATGATAAATGCTATATAAAGAAATGGAATTTTGTATTTGAAATTTTAATTACCAATTAAGTCCATCATTGATCGATTAAGCAACTCTGATTTTGACCGATTATCTATTATGAAATTTTCCCGATTATTCAACACTATCATTCAAGTAATTTCTATGAGAAGAAAACAAGAGGCCCAAGGGCCTTGATTCGCTCTTCTGATAAATTGTACAACCTATCACTTGTATTTGAAGCCTCTAACCCTAAGTATCCTAAGACCAAAGTTGCACCAACTGACAAAGTTTGATGATTCTTAGCCAATAAGGACTACTTCTTGGTCTACATTCTTGGAAAACCCCAAATGCATCAACTTACACAGTTTGATTATTCTAAGCCAATAAATACCTAATATTCTTAAATATAGCCATAAAATGTCGAAAGAAGGTCACCATGACCTTATTTTTGGTCGTCACTCTCGGAAAACCCAAGATGCATCAACTGACAAAGTTTGATGATTCTAAGCCAATAAATACCTAAGATACTTAAATTTAGCCATAAAATGTCAAAAGTAGGTCACCGTGACCTAATTTTAGTTGACATTTTTCAGAGTCCAAAGATGCATCTGCTGACTCAGTTTGATGATTCTAAGCCAATTTGTACAGGAAATACTCAAATATAGCCATAAAATGTCAAAAGTAGGTAACCGTGACCTAATTTTTGGTCGTCACTCTCCAAAAACTAAAGATGCATCAACTGACAAAGTTTAATGATTCTAAGCCAATAAGTACCAGAGATAATTAAATATTGCCATAAAATGTCAAAAGTAGGTCACTGTGACCTAATTTTTGGTCGTCACTCTCCGAAAACCCAAGATGCATCAACTCACAAAGTTTGATGATTCTAAGCAAATAAATACCCAAGGTACTTAAATATAGCCATAAAATGTCGAAAGTAGGTCACTGTGACCTACATTTTGGTCGACATTTTCAGAGTCCCAAGATGCATCACCTGACCAAGTTTTTGATGATTGTAGGTCTGACGGTAATGCCTTTTAAACAATTTGAAAACATATGCCTGCAAAATTCTAAAAGTAGGTTACAGTGACCTACTTTTTCTTAAAATATGTTTTAATGTCACAAGATGCAACAACTTATAAGATTTGATGATTCTAACCCTTTCAGTGCCTGAAATAATAGAATTAAATGTTTTAAAAAAGTTA